TCGCTTTACGCGGTCAATTGAACCCACGGAGGCCCGCATAAAGCGAGGAACGCGTAAAGTGAACAACATAACATATGGGATTAATTGAAATAGAGACCGGGCCGACCCCCAAACTCCACTTTTTCAGACACAATACCTACGTTGTAGTAAAAATAACTTCTTAATTTTATGATGGTATGCACACACAATTAATAATTAAGAGAAATATCAATAATATTAGGTTTTTTAACACTTACAATAGTAGAAAAGATGGCTGGGCACACGGGGATGGGGGGTTTGTTCCGAGGCAGAGGGCAGATTATTGGCCCTCACCTGTATCACTTGTATCAATTGTATCACTATCCACCACAGAGGCTTGCAGGGCCTCTTTGTCAAACCCCTCAAAGTCCATATAAGTCCATATCCTCACTATCACTATCACTGACTTGGGCCGGCTGTGGTGGGTGGCGTGTGAAGAACTCAGTAATGTTTTGATGACTGGGCGACCTTGTGCACACCCTGCCCGCGCCGCTCTCCGCGTAAAAGAGTACAAGCACCGCGTAAAGTGAGCATTCCAGGTCTGGCAGGGTACTGCGTAAATGTGGAAACGCGTAAAGCGGGGTAATACTGTAATTTACTCAATGTAGCTATAGAGAGTTAAATGAAGGACAGAGTGAAGACTTGAGTAGAGACTTTTCGAGGGAGAACGGAAATATATGCGTCGTCCTCCCTCGAGGGAAGACGGAACCATCCATAATGGCTCTAAATAACGTCTTCCTCTAGTGAGTGATATCAAACTACTGCCCACAATAGGTGGCCAGAGAGCCGGTTACTTAATGCTCAACTCAGCAGCAATTGACATGACTTCCCGTGAGCATGCCTTATCTGAACATGCTAGTGGAAAGTTACAGGGGGTGATAGAGAATATAAGTCTAATGTAATTAACCCATTTATATAAATACTTCTGCCTATAAGACAGAGGCTAATACATTTCTTCGTCTCTGAATTTCTTTATCATATAACAACACAGCACATTGTAACACAGTACCATAAATCATTATAACCTGATCATAATTTGATTGCAATTATAGTAATAAAAGTAACTTTTGATGTGCTAGGAGAGATTTCTCCTCCGTAAAAACTCGTCGAGTTATAGTTGCTGCCATAATCTTGTAAACATTACTCTCGATGGTGATTGGCTGTCGTAATTGTGTAGATGAAACGTGATTGGCTAGAATTTCAGTGTTTGAATCCTTGCTCTCAAATGAAGAAAATGCAACAGATTACCCGATCCGGAGTTCGAGCCGAGGTTCTGAATATGGGTAATCCACTGCAGGAAATCTCGGCTCGAGGAATCCTGATTCGCAAACCTGAGCCGAGCTCAAATCCCAGGCTCAAACTACCTTTTTGAATGCAGGCCATACAGTACGAGTCATACTGTTGCTGACACTGAATGACTTGCGAAAATACTATTACAAATTCCCTTCCTTCCTTTTTATTTCCACAGATATAAGATATCCTTTTCCATACAAGTGTTTGTTATATCTTTTTAATACATAATGTTTATATATTTATCTTAAAATATTATGGAATTTTTTGTATAGCCTATAGAATCCCGGACGCACTCAGCTGCCCAAATCGCTGGCAACCCTGCCAGCCTGTTGGGTCCCCTTTGTGCACGGGCCCAGGTGTTTTGGTACCATTACCATCCCCCTCTCACAAACCCTACATTGCAGCATACAGTAATACCCCGATTTACACGGTTCAATTGAACCCGCGGAGGTCCGCGTAAAACGAGAAACGCATAAATGGAATAACAAAACATATGGGATTAATTGAAATAGAGTCTGGGCTGACTCCCAAACTCCACTTTTTCAGACACAATACCTATGTTGCAGCAAAAATAATATCTTAATTTTATGATGGTATGCACACAATTAATATTTAAGAGAAATACAGTCGCCAGGTTAATGTCCATTCAAATAATGGACTCAATTCCCGCCCTCCCCCCCACCCCCACCCCCCACCCCCACCCCTCCTCTTCCCACGCCGCTCCTCCCTCTCTGAGAAATGTTTGGGTGAAAACACTAGATTTTAAGGTATAGTAATAAATAATAACTCAGACTAAAGTTAGGATAATATAATTGACATTGCTGGATTCCTTGCAAGACCAGGAATATTTTGAATATACACGTCATATATTTTGCACAAAAGACAACATATTTGCTCTGTGTAAACAAAATTCTTGCATTAGATCTAAAATTTGTATGTCTAATGCAAAATCCATGATGTTTACATTCAAAATGATCATCATATTGTAAGAATTCCAGCAATGTAAATTATATTCTGGCCAGGTAATTTATATGAATTTTATGAGCTAAAACAATATCTTCAGTAAATAAAAAAATATACTTCATCCAGACACTATCTGTCAATCAAAATACCCCACCTCCGGCTCCCACGCCTCTGGGTCCCTCCCTACCCTCCACCCTCCCTACCAGAGAAATGTTTGGGTAAAACAGTATATTTACATTTTTAGTAATAAATAATACCTCAGACTAAAGTTAGGATAATATAATTGACATTGCTGGATTCCTTGCAAGACCAGGAATATTTTGAATATACACGTCATATATTTTGCACAAAAGATAACATATTTGCTCTGTGTAAACAAATTCTTGCATTAGATCTAAAATTTGTATGTCTAATGCAAAATCCATGATGTTTACATTCAAAATGATCATCATATTGTAAGAATTCCAGCAATGTAAATTATATTCTGGCCAGGTAATTTGTATGAATTTTATGAGCTAAAACAATATCTTCAGTAAATAAAAAAATATCCAGACACTATCTGTCAATCAAAACACCTCCCTCCCACGCTCGCTGGGTCCCTCCCTACCCTCCACCTTCCCTCCCTACCAGAGAAATGTTTGGGTTAAAACAGTATATATACATTTTTAGTAATAAATAATACCTCAGACTAAAGTTAGGATAATATAATTGACATTGCTGGATTCCTTGCAAGACCAGGAATATTTTGAATATACACGTCATATATTTTGCACAAAAGATAACATTTTTTGCTCTGTGTAAACAAAATTCTTGCATTAGATCTAAAATTTGTATGTCTAATGCAAAATCCATGATGTTTACATTCAAAATGATCATCATATTGTAAGAATTCCAGCAATGTAAATTATATTCTGGCCGGGTAATTTGTATGAATTTTATGAGCTAAATAGAAAAATTATACTTCACCCTCGTATATGAGTAGATGCACCGCGTAAAGTGGGAATTCCGGTTCTGGCAGGGTACCGCGTAAATGTAGAAACGCGTAAACCAGAACCGCGTAAAGCACGGTATTACTGTACATACACTGTAGTGTTGCAGCAGCGCCACATGTCTCTGAGTCAGCTGGGTTACTGGCAGAACTGTTACACTCACTCTCTGCATTGCCCAAAAATTTTTTTTAGAGCGGAGTTTTTTTTTCTACCTAAGGTATATGCGATTGTATTTTATGATGTGCTATGTATCATTTTTATTATTTATTATAAAAGTTTTTATTCATTTTTGGAGGGAGGGAGGATGAAAGTTCTGGAGCCAGTGCGTAACAGAAATGTGATTGATCACCCAAGCGGCTAACAAGCTGCTCAGTGGCGTAGTGAAGTCAAGTAAATTTTTGAAAAATGTGGATGATTGTATTTGTCTTTTGGGAAATAGGGGGTTACAGACATATGTCCATTCACAAGGAACATCTCCATCCATGGTGCGTTAATCCTAGAATGAACACTTAATAATATCTTTAATTTCTGTTTTTTTGTGTTATATTTTATGGATTAACCTACACCATACAAATCACACAAGCTTGATGCCAAAACACCACTGTAAGGTTTTTTTTTTTAATCTACCTTTTCTTGTATGGATTAGGAATAGCGTTTGCATTTTCCCACCACTAACACTTGCTTCTTTTGCAGACATAGTTGGGGTTAAATAAGAGCATTGGTAGATAATAATTGTATATTAAATGTTTTGAGGGGAGCATGGTAGATTGGTAACATAAAAACAAAAGAAACAGTCTAATACACAATGCAGAGGGTGTGCAGAAATTTCCGGGTTCTGAACCCAGGAAATTTTAAATTTCCACCTCCAGGACATATTGTCCTGACCAGCATTGGTGCTGAACCAGTAATTGCCAGATAATTGATGGTCAACCTGTATGAATTTTGTATGCGGTTTGAACAGCCATTTGGACATATGGACAGGTTTGTTCATATGTCTGAATGTTTGTAAGTACAGGAGCATGTATTATGATTTGTTGAGGTACACATTTTATACTTGGCAAATTAGATGACTCATAGTTTTGGGGAATATTTTAAGCTTCAAAGGTCATCTTGTACACCAGTAAATATTGTCTACATTATCTAATTCACTTGTTACTGGTAAATCACTGAGGACCACCATCTATCTTGATTACCTGGTACTGTACATGTAATTACTTAATGTAAATATGCATTATAATAATTCTTATATCTTTTTTAGCGTGTCTTGCAACACAACCGTTCATGCATGAAGGCATACGAGTACATGGGTTTCATCATGGAGAAGGAGCAGAGTTATCGAGATGCTGCTTATAATTATGAACAGGCCTGGAAATTTAGTGGCAGCACAAATCCTATGATTGGTAAGAAGTTAAATGTTTCTTTCTTGGAATATACTGTATTAAATATAATAACAAAATTGTAATTATAGGTAGAGAATGACCTTATTTATTGGTAGCATCACTGAATAAGGAGCCCTAATTTTTTAAGATGTTATTATGAACAAGTACCATTGGTACTACTTTTATAAAGTTTTGTTCCCAACACCCTCCATGTGGCCTATTGGAACTTGAGATAGAGGCCCCGAAAAAGTGCATAAAAATTTTGGAACTATCATAATTTAAATCATTCAATAGAAAAAAAAGGAACTGGGAATTGAGGCCCCCCAAAACACATAAAAATCAAAGAATGTATTCAAGAATTTTTTTAGCATCTCTTTCATACCAAGTGTCATGCAGTCTTCTAGAAATTATTTCATATTACTTTTGTACCAGTCACATGTTGCATGGCTTTGTTCACACTACAGTATTGAGTGCTAATGCCCAGGAAACAGGTCTCTGTGACACACTGCACACGACTACCATAGAGCAGTAGATCAGGATCTGGATGAAATCCTTGAAGCCAGCAGAAATGCATGGCAACTGTCTTCAAGGGAGAAAACCTGAAACCATGCTCTGTGGTCCAATGTGAAACCTTGTCTAGTGCAATTGCATGCAACTTTCAGCCATTGACATATTATGAGATTGATACACCACCTGGAACTGATGCTGCTACCCCACTGAGGAACCCCGTCCTCCTGGATATGTGGTGCTGACATTTCTGTGGCAATGCGTACCCTAAAATTGCAATGTCCCAAGAACTGACCTATTATTGATGGTAATTTTCTCTGCTATCCAAAATTGTGAAGCTCCTTAAGGATGCTGACTCTCTAAGCTGTGTTGTAATCTTTCTCGGGGTCGAAAAATAAATGCAAACAAGATGCTGGTGATGAGCAAAAACATCACAGACTAAGGACCAAGACAAATGAGCATCTATTGTTGAATGCATCTACCAGAAGCCAGATTGATATGATGAAAGAAGGACATCCTTCTCCAGGTAGTATATTAATTACAAGTTGACCATCTTTTAAAACAGCTTGCAGATACAGGACAGTAGCGTCCTGCCATGAGGACAGGAAGGCACCCTCTCGCCAGAGCCTGTTTTATAGCTGCAATAGAAAGATCTGTGCCTCAACTTCAAGGTGGCAGAGCATTGAAAATGGGATATCATCAGGGCCTGGTGATGTATCTCTAGTGAGTGAGAGGGCAGTTCTCATTTCCTTCATTGAGAACATGATGTATGTCTCACCTCATCCCACTCCAAATTCCAAGGTCTATGACGCCTCCACTCTTTACACACGCTTAAACTCTGAGGATCGAGCTGCCATAGAAGACACCCCTGCAAATACTGTGGCAAAAAGCTTAGCAACTTCTTCAGGGGCAACAACTGAGCTGCCATCATTAGTCCTGAGAACTGGAAGAGGATTGCATAGTACTAACTTGCCTCCTATTTTCTGCACATATTTCCATACCTGGGACAAGGGAGTTATTTATATTTAAAGAGGAGACGTAAGTAAAAGACTGGTAACGGGCATTCTCTAAAACTTGATGAGCTTAGGCTCTGGCCCGTTTGTATTCCATATGATAAAATTCTGTTCTGTGACGCCAGTAATGACCATAAACTCTGAGCCGCTCAACAACTGCCTGCCTGCATTCCTCTGACCACCAAAGAACAGGTCGGTGAGCTACACAACCAGAGGTCTGAGGAATGGAGCAGTGACCAGCTCATTGGAGCTGGCTAAGTGTTCAACTTGTGATGTCAGGAGGACTTCAGGGAGGAAAGTAGGATAGGGTAGTAGTTACTTTCTTTGTGGTTGTCTGTTAATTTCCTCTCAAAGTCCAGTAGAGAGTCTGCTGAGGACAATGAGAGATCTATGGCTGTAGTCGTGTTGGCTTGGACATAATAGTGGGTGATATAGCCAATATTTAATATACCCTGGTTCATTTCTTCAATAATTGCAGCTGTCAAGTCACCCCTTGAATTAATTATTGTATCACCCCAGAAGGTATGTCTTCCATTAAAATCACTAAAGATAAGGTAAGGAGAAGGAAGTTGATGAATTAATGAAGCCAAATCCTCCCTGGCAATTGGTGTACTGGGTGGGAGGTAAATGGAGCATATGGTATTGGTGCATTGGAGGTAAATCTTGGAAGCTGTCACCTGCAATGGGGAAGTGTTGGATAATGGGCTATAGGGTACACCACACATGTCCGAGACAAAAATGGCTGTTCCCCCATGATGCATCTGTTGTGGATTTTGAGGGGAATAAAAAACCGAATATCCTCTGGGAGAGGGATGAGCATAGGCACCTAACACTGTGCCCTAGAGACAAATGCATATAAGGGAGAATTTGATCAGTAGCAACTGGAGTTCCTCCTAGTTGCCTTGTAAGCCTCAACAACTGCTTTGGACTGTGGCAAAAGTGGCAGGACAGATCCAGGAATATCAAAAGGAGGGGTCCAAAAAGCTGTCTGTGGGGGAACATAATGAGCACAGCGAGCCCACTCAGCTGTTTTTTTTGGGGGGGGGGGGTCGTTATAAGCCCCCCCCCTCCTCATTTTTTTTTAAATCTGACCAATATCATGGGCATTTTGAGGCCATATGCACAGTGCTGGATTTACAAAGGGGCCATTGGGGCCATGGCCCTGGGCCTCAAAGATACAAGGGGGGAACATCAAAAAAATTTCAGGTATAAATAAATTTAATATTTCACCATAATTTTGCGTACAAAAGGTTAGTGACCCCTCTAAGCTCAACCTTATATTTTGATATCTGTATCATTATGAGAAATGCCAGTTATACAAATATCGAAATGTAAACGAACGAATGTCTTAATTTAAGTGTCATAGATTACAAGTTGCTCCAACAGTAAAGTCCTAAAATGTGTTTTCATCATTTTAAAATTCTTGGCTGTGCATGGTCTTGCTCTGAGAAGAAGAAATGAGAATTTTGGCTCAGTTAATAATGGAAATTTCCTTGGACTGATAGAACTGCTGGCTCAGTATGACCCATTTCTTGAAGAACATTTGAAAACACACTCTAACAATGGTTTTGGGAGACTTTCATATTTATCAAAAACCATCTATGAAGACCTGATAGATATTATTGGTGACATGATGCTTTTGTAGATAATGCAAGAGATTAAAGATGCCAGATATTTTTTTTTTCATTTGACTCTGCACCTGATATCAGCCATATACAGTATAATTACCACAAAAAATATTGATACCAGTTAATTTTTCTCATGATATTCGTACAAAAACTTATTTCAAGGATGAATAAGCCGTTTTTTTCGAAAAACCAGTTATTGTGATATAGTCCAGAATGCGATGTCTAGCTTATACCTAGGTATGTAAATGCCTCGCATTGACTCGCCAGGCCAACATACGGGCAATTAAAACATCTAATAATTACGTAAAAATTTGAAATATTAGGACACGTCGCTACCTGGCATTTAATTGCAATTCTCAAAACCCCCTCCCGCACCCTCCATCACACTCGCTGCCACCGTCATTCTGGACTATATCACAAAACTGGTTTTTACAAAAAAACGGCTTTTTGTTCAATCCAGAATGAGACATCTAGCTTTGAATACCAGAGTGGGAGATGGAGAGGGAGGTGACGTTGCATACAAGGCTCCATGAGCTTAGGTCCAGATTATGATTATAAACCGTTTGGAATATTTTCCAATATTAGGAACATTTACCGGAAGGTAAAATGTTAATTTACATATCCCAATGAGGATACTCACTTTATTCTGATGAGGAAGAAGGTCCTGGTTGTGGAGTTTGACTAAGTGGGGGAGGGGACCCCAGCACCACCACATGTGAAGCATCTTTCAGATATAGATGAAGATAGCTGTTTTGAAAGGTTTTGAAGATTTCCAAAGGCCCACTTCTTTGATCTGACTGAGGTTCATATGCTGCAGAAAGGCCACAGACCCTGCATATTTCCTGATATCATGTGCCCAAAATTTCTTGCCAGAGTCTGCTTGATTCACTAACTGAGATAAATATTTTTTCATTTGACTAGGAGACAATTTCTTACCATCCTGTGATGAGAATACTGTATATAGGGGCCTCGATTAGGGAATCTGGTTAACCATTCCTGAAAATTCTTAACTGGGCACAGTATATGAGGAACCCTTGTCTCATATATTAGCTGTTTTATCCTAATAGGTTGAGCTTGAAAATCTTCCCTTTCATTTTTTCTTAGGACCTCTGTCGGAAAAGGGTGACATCTTCCTGAGAAAATACCAATATTGATGGATAATTGGAAATTGAAATCACTTCACTGAATCTCATACCTGTTGCTATTGCTAAAAGGAACGCTGCCTTCTGGAGCAATCTGTCCCGGTTCACATTTATATTGTAATTAGGCCCCATAAGAAATTTAGTAACTTTTTCAAGAGACCAAGGTGGGATTCTCTTAGGCAGAGGGAGTCTCTCAATGAAAAAAGACGATCTGAGCATTTGATAAATCCTTGGGTTCAAAGTAATATTAAAACTATTAAAACCCCACGCCAGAGGGTCAACTAATGCTGATATATAAGATGTAATTGTTGATCCTTGAAGGCCTTTAACTCTGAACAGAAATTCTAAAAATTCTAACACAACTGTTTTCAACAATATATCTGGAGTCGTTAACCTGACAAATAGTTGAAAAAGTTTCCAAGCTTTCTCATATTGCATAGAAGTTTGGGGTCTATGACTTACTATTACTTGGTTAGCTATATTGGAATTACCCAACAATCTACTTAAACTTCTTTTGAGAAACGCCAAGAATGAAGTGCCAAGGATATCTCGAACTGAGAATGCAGTACCTGGTCTAGACATCCTTCATGCAATTGTAGTGGATGCGGGCACCAGTCCAACAGATCCAGGCACCAAGGTTGTAGGATCCAATATGGTGCAATTAAGAGGAACTTGCCTTGGAAGGATCTGAGTTTGTGAACCACTTTGGGCAACATTTTCACAGGTTTGAA